CAGGGCCAATAGGGAGCAGCGGCTCCCGCAGCCCAGGACTCTCCCGCTGGCACCAGTCACCTCCAGGAAGAGCCGGGCCGGGCCCCAGGACGCTGCGCCCCCAGAAGCCGGCTGCGGGCACCCGGGGGAAGGCGCCGGGCCCTGCCCAGCACTTACATTCTCCATGAGCCCAGGACTGGCCGCGAAACCGGCGGGACGAGGCGGGACCGGCCCGGACCGGGCCGAGCCTCCGGGGGCGGGGAGACCGCGGCGCTCTGTCCTTCCACAGCCCCAGGAACAACTGCAACTCTCGATAGCGGCAGCAGCAGGGCCTCGCTCTGGGCCGGACTCTGCCCAGGACAACTTCCGGGGCAACCACCACAACTTCTTCCGGGGCCAGGGAGGGGGTATGATTCTGGGAAGGGGCTCGGGGCGTCTCTGGTAGGGAGAGCCATGGGCTCACGCGGGGCGGGAGGAGCCGCTCGTTGGGAGCACGCGCTTGGGTAGTGGGGGCCTCGCTTTCGCGCTAACAGTTTATCCCAAGTGCTGCCTGCCTGAGCTAATTTGCATATTCCTACGTAACCCTGAACTCCAGCGCACGGGCCGTCGTGCGGGGCTGAGCCTGCCCACCGCACCTCACCTGGGGTCGGGCAGGCTGCAAGATCTGGCGCGTCACTGCCCGGACTCTCAGTGCACAATGTAGTGAGGCGCTTGGGCTGTGCGAGGGTCTGCGGGTCATCTCATGCTGGAGCCGCCCCAGGAGACTCGGATCCTCGCGGCGTATTAAGCGCTGACAGTGGCTTTGGTGGTGTAAAAGTCGCAGCCCAGGCCTCAAAGAAGTTGCTAAAGAAAACAGAGAAGCGGCCTAGGAAGAAGAATTAGGAATTTTGCGTGTGTCCGTTACTGTTTTCTGCTGGGCAACAGAGAAGTGCGTTTGCCAGGCCCATTCCTGAGAAGGGCTGCCAGAAGTTTCCTTATAGAAACTTACTGATTTTGCACGTTTGAAAAGATGAGGCACAAGGGTTTTAAATTGCTTTTTCATTACTTGTGAATGGACACCAAGAAGTTGATTTCTGTAGTGTTTAGATGCTGTTTTATTAAGCTTCAAACACTGTAAAAATGTATCTTCATGTTCTTTTTAAAATACCGATGTATATAAAATTATAAAGAGGGAGCAATATAGTTAATAAAAATGAAGATGAAAAAGGAGGAATGATGAAAATAGAAATGATGGGTGTGTCTGCAGTGCAGTAGACACCCTCAGCTAGCTTCAGGGCTGTTTAATTGTGGTGTAGATCAGTGGTTCTCAATCAGGGGTACCCTAGCGGTATGCAGAGGTTCTCTAAGGAGTATGTCAACTTATCTAGGTATTTGCCTAGTTTTACAACAAGCTACATAAAAAGCACTAGCAAAGTCAGTACAAACTAAGGGCATGGCTACACTTACAGATGTAGAGCACTAAGAGTTAAACCAGCCCTCGGACAGCGCAGTAGCAAAAACGCTGCAGTGTGTCCATACTGTCAGCTGCAAGTGCACTGGCGCGGCCACATTTGCAGCACTTGCAGCGGCATTGGGAGCGGTGCATTATGGGCAGCTATCCCACAGAGCACCTCTTCCCATTCTGGCACTGTGGCTTGTTGGAAGGGGGTAAGGGGTGCGGGGCATTCTGGGTCCTATCCTAGTGCCCTGTGATGCATCGCTTCGCATCCCAGCAATCCCTGTGCTTCCATCCACCTTTAGTGCTATCTTTCAACTTTTGTACTGTGCGCTCTGTCTTCCCTTTCGGTCTGTGGGAATGGATCCCAAAGTGCTGAGGAATATGCTGATAGGTCTCGCCAGCACGTCACGTTTGGCAGTCGAGATACTCCTTAAGCTACAAACTGACAGTGAGAAGTCCAATGATGATATTGACTCGCCTAACACATATGACACAAGATTGCTTGTGGCATTCACGGACATGCTCACCACCGCAGAATGCTGCTTTTGGGCTCGGGAAACAAGCACTGAATGGTAGGATCACATCGTCATGTAAGTCTGGGATGACGAGCAGTGGCTGCAGAATTTTCGGATAAGAAAAGCCACTTTCATGGGACTGTGATGAGCTCGCTCCCACCATGCAGTGCAAGGACACAAGATTGAGAGCTGCCTTGACGGTGGAGAAGAGGGTGGCTATTGCAATCTGGAAGCTGGCAACCCCAGACAGCTACTGATCGGTTGCTAACCAGTTTGGAGTGGGAAAGTCTTGTTGATGCAAGTTTGCAGGGCCATTAATCGCATCCTGCTCAGAAGAACTGTGACTCTAGGTAACGTGCATGACATTGTGGCTGGCTTTGCACAAATGGGTTTCCCTAACTGCGGAGGGGCGATAGATGGAACGCATATTCCAATTCTGGCACCACCCCACCTAACATCCAAGTACGTTAATCGGAAGGGGTATTTCTCCATGGTTCTCCAGGCGCTTGTGGATCACCATGGGCGTTTCATTGACATTAACGCAGGCTGGCCCGGAAAGGTGCATGATCCACGCATCTTTCAGAACACTGGCCTGTTCAGGAAGCTGCAAGCAGGGACATTTTTCCCAGACCAGAAGATCACCGTAGGAGAAGTCAAAATGCCCATTGTGATCCTTGGAGAGCCCGCTTACCCTTTAATGCCGTGGCTCATGAAACCCTACACACGCAGCCTTGACAGCAGCAAGGAGCAGTTCAACAACCGGCTGAGCCGGTGCAGAATGACTGTGGAATGTGCTTTTGGCCATTTAAAGGGCCGCTGGCCCTCTCTGTATGGGAAGCTGGACCTGGCTGATGACAACATCCCCGCAGTTATATCCGTGTGCTGTACCCTCCATAACATTTGTGAAGGGAAGGGAGAAAGATTCACTCAGGCATGAAACTTGGAGGTTCAACACCTGGAGGCTGAATTTGCACAGCCAGAGAGCAGGGCTATTAGAGGGGCCCAGTGCAGGGCTGCAAGGATTAGGGATGTCTTGAGGGAGCAATTTAAGGCTGAAAGCCACCAGAAATGTTTGGTGCCCTACACGGGAGTGAAGTGCAGTGGTTTCAATGTTAGTAGGAATCTGTGCTTGCTACACTGACTTGCAGTGCCTGTTGCTTTCCTGGGCTAAGGTATCTTTTACTTAATGCATTAATAACAAATGTTTTCGAAGCCAATTATTTAAAAGAAAATTATTGAAAAGAAACACAACTGCTTGGGAAACAGAAAGGGTAAGGGGTGGGGAACTGTTCAATCACAGATTTGTGTATGTCCTGTTCTCATACTCAGCCTTCCTGTCTGGAGTGCTATGCAATGAGTGCTGCACTTCAGGCTGGCTAAAATGCATGATGATGGGGGTTGAGTGCAGTGGGTAAGGGTCATAGTTTGCAGGGCTGGGTGGTGAAGCTACAGGTGTTGGAGGCAGCTGGTGGCGATAAGAACCTGGATGTTGGGGAAAGTGGGTTGGCAGTGACATGGGGGCACAAGGGAAACAGTTTTGAGACAAGGGCTGCGGGAGGGGGGGGGGGAGTGGCACGGTAGTGCTCCACCTCCATGACTACAAGCGCCTGGATCAAGTCTGCTTGGTGCTTCATAATGCTTATTAGCCACTCCATGCTGTGGTGCTGGTGCTCCACGCTTTGGTGCCGGCATGCCGCATTCTGCTGGTGGAACCTCCTTTCACCCTCCCTCCATTCCTGCGCTTCTTGATTTTCATGAAGGGACTGCTGCATTATTTCATGCAGCATGTCTTCGTTGCTTCTACGTGGCCTCTTCCTAATTCTTTGGAGTCTTTCGGATGGTGATAACATGGACGGCTGAGATCTCAAGGTTGCATCTATAAGGCAAAATGCAACACTTAACAGAGGCAGCATTGTTCCTACCAGACAGAGCAATGATTTGCCCATACTTAAAGACAAGCACAGTCTACACAATAGCAGAATTTGCCCGTCCCAAAGCAAGTGCACATAACCCACAGGAGCCCCAAAATGGTGAGTATGCACAAGGTTGGGGGGAACTGATTGTTTCACTGCTGTACAGTCCTCTGGGGTTCTGTGCCTTGGGGAGAGCCAGTAGCTGCAGTGGGCCCCTATGCTGAACACTGTCCCCACATTTTCCACAGGAGTTCATCCTGGAAGATATCTCGCTGCCAAGGGTGACCTGGGAAGCAAGGGAGTGTCTTCTACTACAATGTGGCTTCTGCCCTGGCCCATATGCAGCTTGCCTGTGTGCAGCAATGGTCCCCCTGCCCGTCACAGCACAGTGGCGTGGACACGTTAGCCTGACTGGGACAAGGACCACAGTAGCGCTCCCAAGGAACCTATGCAAGCGCATTGCACAGCTACTGGATGAGACCTTTGAAGAGATCACTTGAGGCCGATTACCAAGATGTGAGAGAGCACATCAACAAGGCCTTCCACTAGGCGACCCTAGGCAGTCGCCTAGGGCGGCAGGATTTGGGGGGCAGCATTTTGCCGTCCTCAGCGGAAATTAGGCGGCGGGGGGTCCTTCCATTCTGGGTCTTCGGCGGAAATTCGGCGGCGGGTCCTTCACTCGCTCCGGAACCCGCCGCCGAAGTGCCCCGAAGACGCGGAGCGGAAGGACCCCCGTCACCAAATGCTCAGAGAAGGAGCACTGCCGCCTAGGGCAGCAAAAACCTTGGCACCGCTCCTGCACATCAATGCCCTATTCTGCCTGTAGGTATGTGTGCAGCCCTAACCCTCCTCGCCCCAAAAGCCTGCACCGAATAACTTTCTTCCCAAACTAAAAGCCGCTTACCGGGCATGTCCTCTGGTGTTTGTCCTTCCCCAAGCATCAGCCGCTGTGACTGGCTACCTTCCTCCTGGCTTGGGAACAGCTCCTGGCTGCATGCATCTAGGGATGCTGGGGTGTCTTCCTCCTCCTCAGCACCCTCACTCCCGCTTTCCTCCTCCTTCTCCTGCTTTGTTGGAACTGGGCTCTGAAGTGTCCATGGTGGTCCTTGGAGTGGAGGTGGGGTCGCCCTCCAGTATTGTGTCCAGCTCTTTGTAGAAACAGCAGGTCGCGGGGGCAGCACCAGAGCGGCGGTTTGCCTTGCGGGCTTTACGGTAGGCATTCCGCAGCTCCTTCACTTTAACCCTGCACTGCAGCATGTCCCGGTCATGGCCCCTTTCCATCATGTCCTTGATATCTGCCCAAAGGTATCGTAATTCCTACGGCTGGAGCGCAGCTGGGACTGGACAGCTTCCTCCCCCCAAACACTGATGAGGTCCAGCACCTTGCCATTGCTCCATAGTGGGGATCACCTGGCAGGTGGAGGCATGGTCACCTGCAAAGATGCGCTGAGTGCACTCCACGTCTTGCTGAGCAAACAGGAAGGGGATTTTCAAAAATCCCAGAGAATGTAAAGGGCGGGTCTGACGGTTGGTCACCTGAGGGCAGGGCAGTAGAGTTCAAAGTGATGACCAGAGTCGCTAGAACAGGCATTATGGGACACTTCTGGAGGCCGATCAGAGTGCATTAGCAGACCAGGTTGTCCACACTAGCGCCGCGGGGCTCCAGCCAGGGTGCACCAAGCGTTATGCCTCTCACGGAGGTGGATTACCAGGAGCGCCCCAGCTGCGGAGTCAGAGCGCTCTACATGCCTTGCCAGTGTGGACGCATCGTGAGTTAGAGCGCACAGGCTGCTTTAATGCGCTCTAACTCGCAAGTGTAGCCATGCCCATTTCATACAATGATTTGTTTATGCTGTTCTATATACTATATTATACTGTAAAGTAACATGTATACGCACTGTATTACACATGTTCTATGTCGTTTACTTATGCATGCAAGCACATTAATGAAATTGAAGTTGTCATGGAGTGTATGCAGTTGCGATATAAAAATGGATAGATTTTTTTAAAACAAGGAGCTGGAAGCAGCAGTAGTGGCCACACCGAAATTAGTAAGAAATTGAAAACAACTGGAAAAAAAATCGTGGCTTCTGCAAGGAATCTATTGCTTTTGGATTCACATCTACAGCTAGTAATCCACTTCAAGCTTTGTGTTTCCTTTGCAAAGAAACTCTGTCAAATAACGGTATGAACATAGGCGTGCGCACAGGGTGTGCCAGACGTGCACAGGCACACCCTAATGCAGGGGTGGGCAAATGGCTTCACTCTCCCGGTAGCAGCAAGCCGCTGGCCCCTCCCCCACCTTCCTGGGCTGACCCCCGCCTGCCACCCCCCCCCATGGGTCTCACCTGCCACCCCCCCTGCGGGTCTCCCCCTCCCACAACCCGGAGCATCCCTGCCTGAAAGAAAGCAGTGTGCGCCTCTCCCATGCCTGCTTGTGCTGCTGGCGTAGTACATTCCTGCTCAACTGCTGTCTGCTGCCCCAGGGTCCTAGTGCCCCCCATCCCTAATGGCAGGGCAGGCTGCCCTCACCCTGCCCTTCCGCCCTAGCCCTGAGCCTCTCCAACGTCCCAAACCCCTCAACCCCAGCCCTCATCCACCCTAATCCTCTTCCCCAGCCCTGAGCCCCCTCTGGCATCGTGAACCCCTCATCCTCAGCCAGAGCCCTCATCCCCCCACACCCTAATCCTCTGCCCCAGCCCTGAGCCCCCTCCTGCATCATGAACCCTTCATCCTCAGCCCCACAGCCCTCACCCCTGCACCCCCTCCTATCCCCAAACTCCCTCTCAGAGCCTGCACCCCTCACCCCCTCCTACACACCGACCCCCTGCCCCAGCTTGGAGCCTGCACCCAGCACCCAAACTCCATCCGAGAGCCTGCACCCCAGACCCCCTCTGCACCTAAACTCCATCCCAGAGCCTTAGGCAGCTGGGGGGCAGATACTAAGGGGCGGCACTCCGGCCGCTATTGGGGTGGCACGTCTGGGTCTTCAGCAGCAATTCGGCGGCAAGTCCCTCTTGGAGCGAAGGACCTGCCACCAAATTGCCGCTGAAGAGTGGAGCGGCACGATCGCAGTGCCACAGCTTCTTGCTTGGGGTGGCAGAAAACCTGGAGCCAGCCCTGGTTGGATAAGGGGTGGGGGCAGTCAGGGGACAGGGAGCAGGGTGGGTTGGATAGCGGGTGGGATCCCAGGGGGGGGTGGTTAGGGGTGGGAGGTCTCTGGAGGGGGCAGTCACAGAGCAGGGGGGTTGGATGGGGCATGGGAGTCCTGGGGTCTGTCAGGGGGCAGGGGTGTGGAGAGGGGTTGGGGCAGGCAGGGGGCGGCGGTGGGGATCTCTTTGGGGGGGGGGGCCCCCCCCCC